ATACAGATCCGATGCTTCCTTCTAGTCTCGTGTTTGTGTTGTGGTATTAAAGCACATGTGTTGTGGGTGTGAGTGTTGTCATTCCTTGATCCGCTCCAGCTGATCATCATTAATCATCACCAGCTGCAGCTCATCTAAACACTGCTTAAATGCTCACCACATTCTCATTTCCTTGCCAGATCATTGTTTGATGTCGGTGTTGTGTCTTGTTCCTGGTCTCCGTGTTCCTGTGGATTGTCGTCTCGGTGTTGGACTGTTTCGTCTCGTCTTCACTCTGCACATCACGAGGATTCTCCGCACTCTGACCATCTCGTCCCTGCGTTACCTGTCCACACCCGTGTCACAACCCTGAACTTGTTCTTTCTTTATTAAACTCTCAGTTAACTGCTATTGCTTCCTGTTTTTCCTTTACGATCATGACAGAACGATCTGGCCATCCCATGGAAGCAGCAGGAGAGACACCGACTTCACTGGAGGATTTCGTCCACCACAGCATGAGGAGAATGGACTCGCACGAGAAGAACATTAATGACACGGGTCGTACGGTTCAAGCTTTGGTAACGCAGGTGTCCGAGCTCACCCAGCAGATCCAACTTCTTCGTGCTCCCACTGCGCCGCCCACACCAGCCGTTCCCCCCACATCATCGGACTTCGTCCCGTCACCTGAGCCACGCCTACCGGTTCCAGAGCCCTATGCGGGTGAGTCAGGATACTGCCGAGCATTTTTAACCAGGTGTTCCATGCATTTCGCCCTACAGCCCAGAACATTCCAGAGCGAGCAAGCCAAGGTGGCTTTCGTCATCACTCTACTCACTGGAAAGGCGGCGCTATGGGGAACGGCAGTGTGGGAGAATCAAGACCCGTGCTGCGCCTCGTTCCAAGATCTCTCCGCAGAGATGAAACGAGTGTTCGACAGAGCCGTTGCGGGGAGAGAGGCCGCCAGGGTGCTGGCCGACCTTCGTCAGGGGGAGAGGTCGGTCTCTGACTTTTCCATCGAGTTCTGAACCCTGGCAGCAGAATGTCATTGGAACGAGGAGGCGCAGTGGGACATGTTCCTGCATGGGTTGTCCAACGTGAGATCTACGCCCTAGACCTACCCACGTCACTGAATGGACTTATTGAGTTGGCTTTACGAGTGGATGCACGACTTTCCCGAGTCGGAGGCAGAGCGGCATCTAACTGTCCTCCTGGAGGGTTTGAGGGACAGCGGTCCAGCGGCAGGGACGTGGTCAGCCCCGTCTTCGATCACGAACCCATGCAGGTGGGTCGAGCTCGGCTTTCCCGGGAGGAGAGGGAGAGGCGGAGGTCCCAGGGCCTTTGCCTATATTGTGGAGGTTCGGGACATTTTACATACAACTGCCCGATAAAAGGCCAAGCCCGATAGTAAGTATGAGGCTACTATCGGGTGGGATCTCCGCCGAGAAGACCTCATCCACACCTACACTCCTCCCGGTAAGACTGAGATGGTCAACTCACCAGCACGACTGTAAAGCACTTCTGGACTCAGGGGCTGAAGGTAATTTCATGGACAGTATGTTTGCACACAAATTTCAAATTCCACTCAGACCACTCACTCAGAAGATCGCTGTACACGCACTTAATGGCCAAGAACTTCCCACCATCTCATTCACCACTGAGGATATCACCCTCATCACTTCTGGCAATCATACTGAGACTATTTTTTTTATATCCTGGATTCACCATTGGCACCTGTCGTCCTTGGTCACCCCTGGCTCATCCGTCACAACCCCCGAGTGGACTGGCAGCACAAGACTATACTGGAGTGGAGCAAGGAATGTCATAAGTCTTGTCTTGTGTCTGCTTGTCCATCTGTGCCTGTTTTTGTGTTTCCGGAGGAAGCAGGGGATCTGTCTAACGTGCCCGAGGAGTTCCATGACCTGAAGAAGTGTTCAGTAAGTCTAGGGCTGCTTCTCTCCCTCCCCATCGTCCCTATGACTGTGCCATAGACTTAATGCCAGGTAAGTCTCCGCCTAAAGGCAAGTTATATTCACTTTCTGTTCCAGAAAGGGAGGCTATGGAGAAATATATTTCTGATTCTCTGGCAACCAAATTCATCCGCCCTTCCTCTTCACCAGCGGGGGCGGCGTTCTTTTTTGTGGGGAAGAACGATGGATCTCTGCGACCTTGTATTGATTACCGAGGGTTGAATAACATCACGATAAAGAATACCTATCCTTTGCCGTTGATGTCTTCAGCCTTCGAGAGGTTGCAGGGAGCATCCATCTTCACGAAATTGGACTTACGTAATGCTTATCATTTGGTCCGCATCAGAGAGGGGGATGAATGGAAGACTGCGTTTAATACCCCCAGGGGCACTTTGAATATTTGGTCATTTTTTTTGGGCTGTCCAACTCCCCAGCAGTCTTCCAGGCACTTGTCAATGACGTGTTGCGAGACATGATAGATCAATTCATATATGTTTACCTGGATGACATATTGATATTTTCCTCGTCTCTCAGGAGCATGTGCAACACGTACGGCAAGTGCTTCAAAGGTTGTTAGAGAATGGGCTTTATGTCAAGGCGGAGAAATGCGATTTTTATGCGCAGTCTGTTCCTTTTCTAGGACACATCGTCTCGTCTGAGGGAATGCGTGTGGACCCTGACAAGATTAAGGCTGTGGTAGAATGGCCAAGTCCAGATTCCCGTAAGGCCCTACAGAGGTTTCTGGGATTTGCCAATTTCTATCGGCGGTTCACTCGCAACTTCAGCCAGCTGGCCGCGCCTCTGACTGCCTTGACCTCCCCGGAACTCTGTTCAGGTCAGATACAGCCGAGGCTGTGTTTGCCAACCTCAAGAGCCGCTTTGTTTCAGCTCCCATCCTTGTTTCCCCTGACTATTCACGGCAGTTCGTGGTGGAGGTCAATGCGTCAGAGGTGGGGGTAGGAGCAGTTCTGTCCCAGCGCTCTTCCACAGACGACAAGATGCATCCTTGCGCGTTTTTTTCTCATCGTTTATCCCCAGCCGAACGTAATTATGACATTGGTAACAGGGAGTTGTTGGCAGTCAAGTTAGCGTTGGAATAATGGCGACATTGGTTAGAGGGGTCGGGGGTACCTTTTGTCGTGTGGACCGACCACAAGAATTTGGAGTACATCAGAACCGCCAAAAGACTGAACTCTAGGCAGGCTCGGTGGGCACTTTCGGTCGTTTTGACTTTTCTCTCTCTTACCGCCCGGGTTCAAAAACATCAAACCCGATTCATTATCTCGTATTTTTGATCGCTCCGAACGCCCGTCTACTCCCGTGTGCATTTTACCGGAAAGCCTATTTGTTTCCACACTCGTATGGGAGATCGAACCGAAGGTCAAGAAGGCCTTAGAAGGGGTAACACCTCCGCCTGCATGTCCACCGAGTCATTTATTTGTGCCAGAGGGATTAAGATCAGACGTCATCCGGTGGGGTCATTGTTCCAACATAGCTTGTCATCCAGGAGTTAATCGTACTAAGTTTTTAGTTAAGCAACGATTCTGGTGGCCACGTATGGCTCGTGACATTCACAGTTTTCACATTCACACATTCCCTGTTACCAATGTCGTAATTACGTTTGGCTTGCTCGGTCTGTGCCACTGGTAAGAATTCCAATCGACCCCCAGATGGGCTCCTCCAACCGCTGCCAGTCCCTTCGAGACCCTGGTCCCACATCGCTCTAGATTTTATCACCACCCTCCCACCCTCTCAGGGTAACACTGTCGTTTTGACAGTGGTGGACTGGTTCTCGAAGGCGGCTCACTTTATTCCCTTACCCAAATTACCCTCAACTAAGGAGACAGCGTTGAGAGTCGTTGACCACGTCTTTCGCTTACATGGCCTCCCGATGGACGTGGTCTCTGACAGAAGTCCCCAGTTTGTGTCCAAATTTTGGCAAGAGTTTTGTAAATTACTGGGGGCGATGGTTAGTCTGTCTTCAGGGTTTCACCCTCAGAGCAATGGCCAGGCCGAGAGAGCCAACCAAGATCTGGAAAGAGTGTTACTATGTTTGGTATCCAAGAATCCTTCCTCATGGAGCCAACATCTGTCCATGGTGGAGTACGCCCACAATACCTTACCAGTGTCGGCCACGGGCCTCTCTCCGTTTGAGTGTAGTCTCGTCTTCACTCTGCACATCACAAGGATTATCCACACTCTGTCCATCTCGTCCCTGCGTTACCTGTCCACACCCGTGTCACAACCCTGAACTTGTTCTTTCTTTATTAAACTCTCAGTTAACTGCTATTGCTTCCTGTTTCTCCTTTACGATCATGACAAGAGCACCTTAAGACTGATAACAGACTTTTACAATCTCAAAGGAATGTGGCCACATTTGCCAAATGCGTGAGAGAGAGACAATGGTGTAAGGAACTTACTGGTTAGATTTTGGGAAAAAGTGTGCAATACTTTCTCTGATCAAAATGTATTGAATATGGTTTGAAACCAGGTCCGTACGTAATAAATCACCCAAAAAGGGATTATATAGTATACACATCTGCTTCAGATGTATATTAATCAATTAATTAAAAATAGGTAATTAAACACAACGAATTATAATTAATTAAAAATCTACATCCTAGGCAGATGGGTTAATGTTGATTTTCAGAATACCTTAATAGAATTAACCGCAATCCGAGTCAGCTCGTCTGCAGGGCTTCTTGGCTGGAGACTCGCTATCAATTCTCAAGATTTCTTCTTAGGTAAACTGACTTGATTAGTGAACTTAAGCTAACACAATATCAGCTTGTAGCTTCGGATCGCATATTTAAGAGGCTTTGTTATGTGATCAACAGGCAGAGCCAATAAGCGTATAATGGAGTTTAATAAAAATGGACTACCACTACATGTTATACAAATATATATATGGAATAAATGAAAGTAAAAACAGTGAGAAAGTAAAATGGAAAACAGGGAACAACATCTACCTCTAATGCATTTTTTAACACGTAACTTTACATCATCACCTTTTCTTTTCTTCCCGTTTTCATCCATGGCAGTTCTAAAGTTAACCAGTTAACCTTCGGGCAACCGACGGCGCTCTGAAGCCCTCCCCCCCCCACTAGTTTAATGTTTATGAATGGATTTAACATGAAAGAAGATCATTAATCTTGGCAAACTATATATAATTTTAAAGGTCTAAGCCTCGGGCATCGATGTCAGTGCACTGTTTTTCGATGGAAAGCTTATAACAAATGTATTTCTTGCATTTAGGTAAGTAGTACACATAAGAACGCACGTAAACAAAAACGGAGTACTCACCATTATTTTGTAATAACGAGCCAGACACGCATCCACTGTTAAAAATTCCAGATTGAATGGAAAGCTGAGGGTCCACTGAATAACATCCCATAGAGCATTTTTTGTCCAAAGAAAAAATAATGTTGTAATATCCATGGTAATTCCTTTGTTTACATCGCGTTTCTTCAGGGTGAATATCATGCGGTTTTGTTATGCAATAAAATAGTCCATAGAAAACAGACTCCCGGTAGCAGACCCTTATATGGGTGTGTTGCTTAGAGTGTAATGAACAAATTACGACCGCGCACACACACACAAATACAAAGATAAGCGATATCTAGTTCAAAATATGCAAACACTGCAGTCCGTTTTTTTGACGTCATGATATGCACATCATATCATTCTGTCTTTATAACGAAAGCCAACAAAAGAAACGACATGATATGACTGGTAAAACATGTAGCCAACCAGTGCACGATTCCAACGTTGCCCGGGAAGTTTGAATTTCTCACACGAACATATGTTTTTATTTGCTCTCCGTCCGGTAGAGGAGCTAAACTTCAGGCTCTGCAGAGCCACACCCACCGCGGTCATGTTTTGACAGGCCAATAGCTATATAGCTATAGCTATAGCTCTATAGCTAAGAGCTAAGATAACAAGCTAAGAGGTAGCTAGTCAACAAACATCTGTTCGTGCAGACATGCAGACTGTCATAAAATAATTTGTCAAAAGAAGTATTTTTCTGCTGAAGTAGTTATTCGAGATCACTCGAAGATGGATTATGTCGACATTGATGAGAAGATGAGTGATGAGAAGATCGTGACGACGGTGATAATTATGCTTGAGGGCGGAAAAGATTATCCAATTTTCGGTGAGTTGCTTTATACATAACTTATGTAACATGCACACATTATACGTCTGTGTGTGTGTGGGTGGGTGAGAGAGAGAGAGAGAGAGAGTGTTTGGTTTCCAGTTGTTTCATACGGAAAATGCATTGTGTAAAGTTGTGTCTGAAAAGATTATGCGTTACTTTATATGCATTTATTTATTTGTATATATGTATTTATATGCTTTGGACGGTTATGCAGTTGTTTGCCGTTTTTTTCTGGCACATGTGGTGTGCTATCTGAAGGATGGAGGGGCTGGACACCTGTGCAATATACATTTTTTCCTAGCACACATACTGTATATTTTTACAGTCTAATATACATAATATTTATAGTACAAATGCAAATATTTGTACTGTAAATATGATGTATGTTGTACTGTAAATGTATATATATATATATATATATATATATATATTGTTGTTGTTGTTTTTTTTTTTGCAGAAATTGGTGGGAAGAATTGCAGAAAATATGTGCTATATAGGAAGGAGTTGTATGCTTTCAAAATGCCACATTCCTGTCTGATGGCCGGCCATCAGTGTGATTGTTGGTTCTTTGTCTGGTCATCCATATGAATGCTGTCTATATCACTGGCCATTGATTGTTGATTGAATGGATGAGCTTTAGTACGAATGCTGTGTAAACGACTGCCCATCAGTTTGATTGTTGAATGAATGGCCAGCTATATAGAAACTAAACAGAATTATTTACTTGACATGCAGTGCTAATTATCTTTCCATTCTTTCCCATGCAACAGCCATCAAGTTGAATCTTCAGATGAAGAATGGCATCCAAGCACCAGCCAGAGATGCAAGCTCTCAGTTTCTTCACTATTCTTCACTTTTTCCATACTTTTCAGAACATTGCAATTCACAAGAGGATGGTGGCATCAAAAGCTAGGAATGGACTAAAGCAATATATGAAGGCCAAGCCAACAAAGTACAGTATTTATATCACTTGTATTTTCTATTGCAAAGAACCTCAGTTATTTATTTTTTATATTTCATAATATTTTACTTATGTATTTTACATATATATATTTTTTTTGTTCTGTTGTGCAAATAAATCACTTGCATAAAGTCTAATGGTTGTGTGTATTATTTTATAATTGCATTATTTTATGAATTGACTGAAATAGCTTGCAGTGCCCTGCATAACATTTGGTCATTAGGTTGCTTTTTGATGTATCCAAGGAGGTTTCTTGGTACCTGGACATAGTCTTGGAAAAAATACTGTAGGAATCTCATTTTTCATAATATCTTCCTCAAATTTGAAATATAAACTGATGAGACTTATGTCTTTCAATCAATTACCTAACTGGATTCCTACAGGTTTGTTTTCATTTATTTTTAAATGAAATTGTAAAATATTACATGCAGTATAAATTATCTTCAAGACACTTTAAATTCTATAACTTTTTGTCTGTGTAAGTTTTTTCATCTTTAACAGTTGGGTAATACACTCTAAAGTGTCTTCTTTTTAAACATGTCTAAATTGTGCATGTAGTGCAAATAGTTGAGCAACTGCAAATATTTTAGTTTGGGCATGTTATTTCTGGGGATGTGCCTCAGGCAGGGGGAGGGAGAAAGGGAACTGACATAGTCTTGGAAAAAAGTTTGCAGGAACCCCATTGTTCATTATATCTTCCTCAAATTTGAAATATAAACTGATGAGACTTGTGGCTTTCAATCCTTTATCTATCTGAATTACTCCAGGTCTATTTTTATATATTTGTACATGAAATACTAAAACATTTTTGTGGCGCACATTATTTTTGAGGCACTTTTAACTTTTATAACTTTTTTTCTGTTTGAGCATTATCAAATCTGATTGATTGTTAGTAAAGTCCCAACTGTCTTCTTTCCAAAGATACCTTAATTGTGCCTGTGGTACACTGTTCTCAGGAGCTGTATTTATTGTTATCCAGGCATGTCATTTTCAGCTGTGAGCCCCCTTGTGGAGCTGAAGGTTAACAGGTTAAGTCTTCTTACCTGAGTGTTCCTTGGCAAATATTTAAATATTACCTTGAGCGGACTGGAATAAAGAAATTGTTTAGCAGGATTGATATTCAAAACGGTATGCATGCACTGCTTTGTTTACGGTTTGTGTATCTGCAGCGGGCAGCATCAGTTTTTCTTTTTGACGAATGATGAATATAGACGAATATATCTGCAGAAATAGACAGTTGTCTCATTTTCACCCAGGCGCAGAACGTACATTATGCCTGACAGTCGGATGTAGTTCTCTCGGTGTGTTCAAATGGAGCTTTTTTTTCCCGCGACGCAAGGGAGTCGGCTTTCATCTGCGTGGCTTGGTGTTGTGTTTTTCCAGGATGTGAAAGAGGTCGTGTTTCAAGATACGCAACGGGGTAGACCAAACTAATTAACAGGGAGGGACAGTCACATGCATGCACACGAAACACACTTCTTATTGGCCGCGTGATCGATTCCCTCATCCATTTGCGTATAAAAGATATGTAATATTATGATTTCCGTCATTGTTTTACATATATATATATTTTCATATATTTGTGTATCAGGCCGGCCCACATTGGCCAGCGGCCCACCGGGAAAAGTCCTGGTGCTCCTGATGGCCAGTCCGCCCCTGAAGGTGGTATTAGTGATTTGATGGTGTTGTTACGAGATATTTACAGACTGTAATGACACATGGTTATTATCATTGTAAATCTGCCAAAATTCTTATAAATGTTTACATTTTATATTTAAAACACTATGATTTGTGCTATTGGCTCAAAATATCAAAAATAAATTGGAGAAAAAGTCATAATTGCTGGTAGTTCACCTCTACCATTTACCACTATTTACGTTTATCCCACCAAAAGTGGATCTGAGAACCACTACTACACTTCTACACTCAAAAAAATATGTTGGCTTTAATTAATTTTTTTTCGTCAACAGGTTCCACATAATTGGATTATGTTAAACAAACATAATTTGTTCACAATTTTGTACCATTGTGGAGATTTTGTAACCAATGTGGAGAAGAGTGGAGCATTTTGTTTGCCTGTCGACTGATTTCATCTGGGTGTCCGGTCCTCGGGGCCCGAAGCGTTTACTTCGGCGTTTAAGCGTTTAAAAATTAGAGTGTTCAAAGCAGGCCGCCCGTCGCCACTGAATACCGCAGCTAGGAATAATGGAATAGGACTCCGGTTCTATTTTGTGGGTTTCTGGAACCCGGGGCCATGATTGAGAGGGACGGCCGGGGGCATTCGTATTGCGCCGCTAGAGGTGAAATTCTTGGACCGGCGCAAGACAGACGAGAGCGAAAGCATTAGCCAAGAATGTTTTCATTAATCAAGAACAAAAGTCGAAGGTTCGAATACGATCAGATACCGTCGTAGTTCCAACTGTAAACGATACTGACCCGCGATCCGGCGGCGTTATTCCCATGACCCGCCATCGTATAAGGGAGGGATTGCACAATTGAAACTTACAAGATTTGATGGTAACTACTTTTTGCCAATGGCAACCCCTGTTGGGGATCCCTGATTGACTGGAACTATTGAGTGCCTGGGGAGGCCTCCACCTGGTTGATAACCATGAGAGGTGGTCTTGCTCCTCCCTGCCTGCACTACGATATAAGACGGTGCTTCCCTCTAAGCCCGTTGGCCCCACTAGATCCCTTGTCTGTATAGTGAGAGGAATATAACAGCACCTTACTGGAAAACCGCACTAGGCAGACACCTCTGGTGTATGGGAACCAGGGAGAGCACCCCTCCCTCGGTATATGGCTGTTAGGGTGTCCTGGCGGATTGGATGATGATGCACCAGGGAAGGCCGATGTCCGGTCATTGACCATGAGGGACATCCTGCTCCTTCCCGCTCTGCGTATCGACGGCCACCTGAGGATTTGATGTCGGTTAATTCTGGCATCATACAGGCTGGTAGGTCTCCCTGTATAAAAAGCTACCCAGTGGAAGCCTCTGGATCGGGT